ATCAATACCATTGCATAATTTTCATGCAATATAACGCCAAAGCAATGGTTTACAAGGAATAATGACGTCTTGACTAACCTATTCTAAGAACTGAACACGTAATGATGACAGCGCTTCGTATCTGTAAAGAAAGGCGCTTTGTGAATGACTAGATTGGATTGGATTGGATAAAGAAAACAAAAAGAAACGAAACAAAACGGATATAATTTTTTTATTATTTAGAAGTGAATACTCTACATTATTAATATTAGGATAGATATTTGATGTTGTATCTACCTAAGTTTACCAGTCAGAGATTTGTGTGTAAGATGATTTGTAATTAATTAAGATTTTCACTTGACCAATGTGCGGCGCACATCAGCAGCAACAACGACATAATAACAGTGGCTTTTCAATCCATTATGGGCATATATTTAGGGCAAAGATTGCCAGAGAGAATTAGTCTTGACCGTGTTTGTGGCAATTCTTTCACAACCACAATACAGACAATGCCTATACTACTAATAATTCGCGTGAATTAGTGGTCATTGTCAATCTCATACTGTGCTATAGAAGCAAATGAGCGTATAAGGCAATCATAGCAGGTTTGTCAATAATATGACATTATTTAAAATAAAAATTGACAGCTTAAACTAATACAATACACTAAATCAAATTTGAAAATTAATGATAATTCGTAGGACACGTCAACAAAGATGTATCATGAACTTCTGACAGAATATTTTTATTGAATTTAATTCAAGTTCACGTTTGCTATACTCTATGTGATGGCTATAAACCATCGCATGGTTCAGTGAAAGGAATGGTAGAGTCAGTCGTTTTATGAACTTCTTAAACACAGACATACAGGAGACGAGTTCTTGATTCCTCCCATGTCAAAATAGCGTTGAGTAGCATATCGTATATTATAAGTTTCGTATATCTTATTAACATAATCCCCTCCTTTAATATCGCCATGTTTACAAATGCAACAGAGAAGATTCTTCTTTTTGTTTTTTTACATAAACGAACCTTTTTAATTTAGGTGTACACATTATTTTTTGTAACGTGGAAAATATATTTAAACCTTTTATACAAACTTTCCCTACTATAGTCCCAATTTACAGTTTCAGTAGTCTCATTGATTAATTGTTCTTCTTCCTATTTTTCTTTATTGCTATAATTTTATTTTCATTATAGTAATAATAGTTATTATTGTCATTATCAATATTAACTTAATCATTATTATCATCATCAAATTATTACCCCATCATTATAATACTCAAGAACCGTAAGATCCGTGTAGGCCTATGTGTCATTGTAATTCAGCTTTAGTTTTTACTCATAGTTTGATTATTACTGAATAATTTTGTCCGCACCTACTAATTAGATTTTATGTTTTATCATAGTAATTTGTGAGAGATCGTGTAGCAACATTATTGACTGTTAAATTTCACGTTAGAGCGACCTCATGGTGACTATTAAATAATGTTCAAAAACGTAATGCACTTACACACGACCAAACATAATCGTGTAACAGCTCTGTGAGTTCTTAACGATGCTTGTCCGAAGATAAAGATATTAGGCCCTACATATGCCGTTGTCTTTTCAAAACTCGACAATAATGCCACAAAGACGAGGATTATAGCCAAATATAGGCCATGCAATACTGGATATCTACTATAGCTGCAATGCCAAAGGAAGTAACTTACGAGAAGCGTCGGGAGTTTTACTGGTGAGATATCAAAAGGTGTTGTTCTATAGGCCTAAATAATTGTTTTAACATCAACAAACAGATCAAGTTTTGTTTTATTTCAGTACAAGTTAGAACACTATTTTGTGCTTTTCTTTTTAGGCATATTTACCCATACATCTGCGTGTTTTATATGTATATACCAAAAAACAGTGAGAGTAAAACTGTGGGGTGCGTCCGATATAAAAAAATGTATATAATAGGTTTGTTAATGCTGAAATTACTGTTGTTTTGATGAATTTATTTCATTAAAAAAATCTTCACGGGGATGGATGTGTCTATATAGGCCTATATGGGAGTGAAAACCCAAATTAAATATTCATTTACTCATATTGCTTGTTTAAGGCAATTAAATTAAATGTTTTGATACATATACGCCAAAAGTGTGTAAGTCGTATCATAGTCTTATGTGTACAGTACTGCATTCATGTGCATGGGCCATATTACACGTAGAACCAAAGGCTTAAATGTCACCGCAGAAAAAGGAGACCGAAAGACGGTGTGCTATTGAAACTTGATTTCAGCCCGCCAGTTGAAACACAAGGTCAGTGCATCTATGTACACTGGGCCTACGGTTTATATAGTCCTTGTGTGAGAATGCTTGTTTTACATAATTAGCATCATGTTAATCATCATCTTCATTGCCATCATCGTTGTCCTTTGTAATTATCATCATCTTCGTCATCATTATCCTCATCACCCTCATTATTATTATCTTCATCATCATCATCCTCATCATCATCATCACAGTGGCGTATCAAGGGGAGTGCGTGGGGGCACTCGTACCCCCTCAACTAATCATTGAGCCCCCACCAATTCACCTTAGTATTCATCATCACCTTTATCATCGTTATTGTCATTATTATCTAAATTTATATAGGCCTATTATTCAATTCATCTTTTTATTCCGTATACCGTAGCAGAGACAGTAGAAACTTTTAAAACCAATAAGTTATTCCTTAATTTTGATTATTTACATTTATTTATCGTTTCTCATAGCAACATGGCGCCTACAGTATGTTCGTGTTTCAGTAACCTTGGTAATAATATCTTCTAAATTAACTCTTTTTTTTTTAAATTAACAATTTGGCTGTTGAATTGAAATGTGAGAACCTATCAAAATACTGTTTTCCCATCAACCTCCGGTAAAAATACGTCATCGAATCGTAGTGATATTTCATTTTATAGAAGAACAGAGTGATAAAAAGGTATTCAATTAACCCATAACTCAGAGCGTTACGGTATTATGCAGAATGCGTATAACATGCGTGGTGAGTTGGATCTAAGTTCTGTGCCAATATCTTATAGCTCTTTGAGGTCTTGTTTATCTTAATAATAATACCAAGAGTTACAGGTTTGAGTCTCACCAGAAACACTTTTATACAAATGAAAATAAAAACACTTTTTAAAATGAAGATCTATTCTTGTTAAGATTATAACATCATGTTTTTCTACAATCGAGCACTGATTGTACATACTACATTTTTAGATTTATTGTATTGTTTATACTATTTAGGCCTATTATGCATAAATTTTATTTGCTTAATAGTATTCGTATGATCACCCTATAGAACATATTACAATTGGTGCACGCATTCCATCCTTTGTATTTACCTAATGAGCAATGATCTTGGTTGACATAATGTCTTGTAGCTTTTTCAGAACCAATTAAAGCTCTCTTAAAAATGGCATTCTTTAAAACGTCACTAACGTCATTTTATTGAACAGTTTGATACTGACATCATACAAGCGACTAAATGTATATAGGACGTACTGTATACATATTTCAATGTGGACACATTTCAGAATCAGAGATAGTTTACAGTAATTAGACTAGAAAGATATCATTTATAGAACATTTCCAAAAAAAAAAGTATGTGATAAATTTGAGTTCGGTATACTTCACTTATTGTCGCATCGAAATTTTAGATTGCCGCTGGAACATTATGTCGCAGTTGCAATGAACTGAAACTACAGTAAAAGTATGGCGATAGATAATTTCAAATGATATATAGTATCAGCATACGCCTACGTTTCTTTACAAATAAAAAGGATATTCAAATTTATTATTTTTTTATATTTTGCTATTTGATATGTGTCAAATGTTTTTGCACAGTTTTATCCGAGCTTCACATTCTGAATTACGATCAATTTATTCGCAATCAGTACATTTTCATCTTTTAACAAAATGACAAAAAGAGCTGGAAACGATAAAATCTGATAGTGAAGTTTCGTTTTACGAAAGTGTACATGCCAATGGTTAACTGCGGTCCGGTTGTCCACGCTAAAGTAAAGTTATCTTACAGGATACTATTTTTCATGATACCTATGCTTATAAACGTCGAGGGCCCCTTATGGTCAGCTTACGGTGGATGGATCCCCCTGATAAAATATTTTTGGGAAAAAAAAATTATAATGAATATTACTAGACTTCGACAGTAGAGGTATTATAGGAAAATATTCTGGAATTGAACCTAGGACGATGAGATTGTAAGGTAAGTGCTTACACCACCAAATCACTCTCGTAGCACTTAATACTCGACCGTCTCCTAGTTGTGAATATTCTGAACAACCACCTGACAGGAAATCAGTAGTTGTATTAAATTTACCATATGTATATGAAATTAAAGATTGCCTGTATAGTCAATTAGCCTGTCGTCTTGTTGGTTGATATCATTTATGTAAGTATTGTCAATTATTTAGACTTAAATCCTTAAACCAGTGTCAATATATTAAACGTGATCAATATATCATTGACGGAATACACTTGGCGAAGTATATTAAGAATCAGGGCCTGTGATGTTTTAAGGTATTTAATAACTTTGATAGACATCTATAGCTGCTGGTGCATACATAATTATACGCCAAAGGTTAACCGTTAGAGCCTACTTCGATTACATATTAATTGATATCATTAGATTTAGTTATATACATCTGAATGTGTCGTAGTTGCTTTATCTGTCTCTGTCGAGAAGAGTTTTACTTGAATTCATTAAATTAAAGCACTATATGTTATTTCGTGCTCCGAATCTAAACTACCGGTACTTGAAATGTCGTAACATGTGGATTAGTCACGGGTATGAAAATTCATTGTGATTACTTTAAAAACAAATTAATAAGTTTATAATAAATTTGCGATTTCAGTTCCTTAGTACTTATGCGAGCAATTGCTATAAAATAAAACTGTTGTCTGGTATTTAACAAGCAAAATATTAAGTAGTGAAACCTATGCATAATAGCTTATAAACTGACGCTACACTTCTGCATTGCATCCTATTATTGTATGGAAACGTCTGAATATTTACATATGCAGCTGAGATATCTCAAATGTAGTATGGACTTACTGAAATCTCGAAATTTTAAGTAATATTGTGCTATGCTATAGCTTGCGACAAAGCTAAAAACATATGTCGTCATTGATGATACTACATAAAGGTGATTGAATATATACGTAAATGTTAGTTTATAATACAGTATTCACATACGGTAGTGTCATGGTGGACAAACCTATTATACGCTTGCTTCGACTCATTTGGATCATTACAATCTCATGTGATAATTAATTGTCTCATTAAAGTCCTAAGATAACTATTTAATACGCTCAGGTGTCTGGACAAATCGTCGTGACGGTTGAATTATATATTATCATTATTCGTGATTTTGCTGTTTTGATACTTTTTCAGCAAACTTACGTGGGACCGGAGCATGTTATGTTGGTTAAGAAGCTTGGCACTACATTCCTAAGCATCTTCGTTCAATCCCTAAGTAACACAATTAAAATATCTTTATAAAGCACCTTCACATTAGAGCAAACATTACTATCAAATGTTTGTCAGTACGATTCGAATGTTCTGATTGATGCGGTAAAGCACTGTTCAAAACCAAAACACGATGTTTGAGTAAATGTCTCAAACAAGAACACACGATTACCTAAACCATATTAATAATTTATAAGACATATAATATTCTTAATAATTATTTATAAGACATTTTGTCTAATTGTAGAAGGTGTATGCAGGATTTAAACACAAAGCTCCTCGCAATTTTTTCCCGCATGTTGAAAGGTAAAAGTGTTTCGGCTTCGGCGTTCCTGATGTGTTTTGCAGAAAATGTGTTCAGGTATTTGACATCATAACATTAAGCACCTAAGCACATTCAATTCTAAACACGCCAAGATCCTAGGCCTAAGCACAGTAAGCTATGCTATCCTTCATGCTAGTTTTACAGTGTACGTTATTAATGTTAGTTGTAACAGGTTTTCTAAATTGAATCGAATTGAATAAAAAGCAATCGGCGTAAACATAATTGACTAAATTGTTGTTATTATATTAAACTATCAATATAATAATATCAGATAGTAATTTGAAGTTTATTTTTTGGGACGATTTTTTTTAAGTAGTTCTATTTATTTAGTAAATATACTGGTTGGAGTGTTTTTACATCATAATTGTATTGACACAGGTTTCTAAATCGAATCGAATTGAATAAAAAGTAATCGGCGTAAACATAATTGACTAAATTGTTGTTACTATATTAAACTACCAATATAATAATATCAGATAGTGATTTGAAGTTTATTTTTTTGGGACGATTTGTTTTAAGTAGGTCTATTTATTTAGTAAATATACTGGTTGGAGTGTTTTACATCATAATTATATTGACTCATGTTACATTCTACTGGAAAGCTTACTGCATTTAGTCCTAGTGGTAAATCTACTTAGCGAGAGAAATCAAAGTTGTTCACTAAAACGTTTAACTCCCTACCCTTAAATGCTTTGCGATCAGAGTAAGCACACGTTAAGTGTAAGGGAAGATACTTTTATATTCAGCTTCTCGCGAAAATCCATTAGCTCACTGCAATTATGATGGACATAATTTTAACTCCAATCCCTTGGTGAGAATAACATTGCTTGATTCAAAGTGCGTTCGCAATGTGTTGTGATTTCAAATATATAGTTATACTATAGTACAACTAGCCCACC